CGAGGGGGTGACGCGGTCCCGGGGAGGGGAGATCGGTTCCGACTTGATGTTGATGTTTTGGTTGGTGTTAATGGAGAGGTTTGAACCCTGAGATAGCTGGCTGCCAGTGCTGGGGAAGGAAAACCGAAAGGTGCAAATCAGAAAACGCAGAAAGTGAAAACCAAGTGACGATTCACGTGGCTGTGATGGTGAGGGCTTGGGGCTCGGCACAGAAACAAATGCACTTTACTGGGAAGAGCAGAGGTGAAAAAATCATTAAGTAAAGGTCTGAGCTGCATTTACAGAAGTTCAGAACAAATATTTTCTATTGCCAAACAGTTCAGTCACCACACAGGTGCCCCCTTGGTGAGAAGCTGAGCCTGCAGGGACACAGCTCATTAGCTGGAAGCTAGAGGTGACTGAAGGGACAAACACCCTGACACACACAAATGTTTTCCAGCACAGACAAGAGGTGAAAATGTGCTGAGTATTCCCCTGGTGCAGCTGCTGCAGCCCCCCAGTGCTGCCCTGGGTACTTACACAAGAGAGCTGAGGGCCGCGGGACGGAGGTGGTGCTGCTGCCAGGCAGACACCTGCCCCAGGGACAGCATTCCTGGGGAGTTAAAGCCCTGCAGGGCAGACAGGTCTGCGCTAGTCAAGGAGTAATCTGAGAGGGAGAAACAAACAAACAACAAAATAATATATAGGGGGGTTTATATATATAACACATGTACACATAAACACAAAGGCTTTCTGCCCAGAACAAATAAATGCAGCTGATCCAAAGGAATCCAAACATGAAAACTCTGAAGTCTGGGAGCAATCCTGCCAAGCTCATGGGGAGCTTAACAGTACAGAGGCCTACAAATAAAAAATTTTTGCCTTCTGCTTTCAGGTTCTCCATGTTGCTGTCTGGGAGCTTGTTCCAAACCCACAGGTACAACACATTAATGCACTGTACATAGAGAGGTGTGCACCTTACAGTGAGACTGTGCTGTCAGAGACCCACACACATCCCTGCAAGAGCCTTCCTGAAGGCCTCAGGAGTCCCAGCTGCTCCCAGCAGGTGAAGTTTCTTGGGCTGCCTTTTTCTTTTTGCTTCATTTCTTCTCAGTTGTCACTTCTACTAAAACTCTGAAAACCCTCACACGTATTTCTGCACAGCTTCAGAAAGGTTTGTCCTGAGATGACTGACCCAAAAAGCCCCTTCTGCAAGACTAAAATTGAATTTAAAAAAATAAAGAAAAAATAACAACTGTGCAGCCCCTGCAGTGACCCAGACATGCCCTGAGCCTGCAGAGCAGCCAGGCCTCCAAGACCTGCCCAGTGCAGCCCAGGCACGGCCTGGAGATGGATGTGCTGGGCTGATGGGATTTGTCAGAGCAGACCTGAAGGAAACACTGATAGGAATTCAGCTCCCATGTCATTTTTTTCCACTGCAATTACAGCTTTTATGACCATGGACAATTAACTTCTGACACTTCAGACAGAATGTGTCTGGGGCCAGGGCTTTGAGGAGGTATTTTTCCAAAGAGCACACAAGTCACTACACAATTAGCTGCATTATTAATTCCCTAAATAATCCCCCATCTGCTGGCAGTGACAGGAGGACAGCCCTGCTGCAGGAGTGACCTGATGTGAGATGCACACACCAGAGCACCTCGTGCACACAGAAACCAGCACTGCTGCCCCACAAGCAGCACTGGAAGTCTGTACCTCTGCAAAACAACTGACCTGCAGGCCAGGAATTTATGGCTTGGTGTGCTCTGCCCAGGTGTCAATTATTAATGAACTGATTGCAAGGGGTTTAATATTTTTTTAAATGCCTGGATTGTTTTAGTAATTTAGTTAGTTCTGGCCCTTCCTCCAACAATCTACAGAATACCAAAACAGATTATATAAAATAGGGTGATTGTGGAAAACTGATATCCAACATTTTAATTAAGGATCCAAGAACTGAAGCTATCCCTTCCAGTCCTGAAAAAAACCAACCTTATCAATCCAGAAAAACAATTAAGGTATTTAAATTTTATCTTAGTCCTTGAATTGCAAAACTGAAATTGTGCTGTAAGTGGAGACTACCCTGAGAATCCCCAGGCAACAATTTGATTTCAATATCAAATTTCTTCCTGCAAATCCCCTGAAAGGTTCAATCTAATAGAAATTATTCTGAAGTGTGTGAAAACCACTAAAGGCTGAAAGCTTTGCACAAATGATTTGCATTCTCAAAGGAAATGGGCTGGAGTTTAAAATCACAGCCCAGCACTTGTCCATTACGTAGGACATCAGTTCCCAGTGCCTTTGCTGCTTCCTGAGGTTCCAGCCCCCCTCAGCTTTTGGTGTTCCCGCAGCAGCTCCCAGGTTATTCTGAGTGAGGGATGCACCCAGCTCTCCCTGCAGCAGCGTCCTGGGCACAGGGGCTGTGTCGGGTGAGACTCCCTGAGGCTCCTCTGAGCAGGAGCACAAGGGTTTGCCCTGAACAGCCATTGAACAGCAGAGCTACCCAACCTAAACCTCCCCTTGTGCAACCTGAGGCTGCCGTTGCCTCATGTCCCATCACTTAGTACTTGACTTTCATGAACTACTTTCCCAGCCAGCAAACCACTCATCACTTTCACATTACCAAATGCCTTACATCACACCCAGCTTGGATAAAAAGTAGTTTTAAGGTCCTGCAGACACTAAAAGTATCTGAAGAAGAGAAGTACTGAAGGATCAGCTATTGCCCAAACGTGAGGCACTCCAGTTCCCAGCGGGATTGCTGCAGGCTCAGTTTTGATGAGTAAGAGCCTTCATTTGAACTGAAGAGGAAAACAAAGTCAGGTGTCACAGAAATGTGAATTTCCTGGGCATCTGACTCCTGTGTGCAGTCCCAGCCCTGACCCCAGCTGTGGAGGCCCGTGGGCCAAGAGGGAAAAGAATCCACAACGCTCCCCTCAACCCCTCAGGTGACAGCATCTTTGTCAGGGTGAGAGAAAAGCTTCTCCCAGCATGCCCTGCTGTTGCATGTAGATGAGATATATCCTATTGGTCCCTCCCCTCTGTTCCACCCCTGTGCCCTCATCCCATTCCCTCGGGTGCTCTGTCCCACCCCTCAAGCTCCCCATACCAACCCCTGCTTTCCCTGCCCCAGGGGCCTTCACCCCTGCACCCTTCTGAGGAAGGAGCTCAACAAAGGCTCTCCCTGGAACCCCACACAGACCCCGTCCCTCCCTGTGCGTGGCCCGGATCCCAGGAGAGCTGAAATCACCCGGTGTGGGCACAGGTGTGAGGTGTGGGCACAGGTGTGAGCACAG